GCTCCATTCCCAGAGTCCTGGGGAGCTGCTTCGAGTGGCTGTGGTGTGTGGAGACGGCCCCTGCATGGCCTGCACACAGGACCAGGCCACAGGCCATGGTGTCCTGCTGTGTCATGTGCTCATATCACAAGGGACAGAGCCAGGCATAGGAAAAGTGGTCAAGAAGCACCCAGCGATGTGTTTTGTGGGTTAGAGAGCAAGACTGTCTCCCAAACTGTTTTCATATGGTGGAAAGGACCACATTTCCTAGCAAGAATAGAAATAACAAAAATTCCAAAGTGTCTTATGATAGGTTATGAAGCATGTAAGAAATGAGCAATTTGTAATTTGGACGTCAGCCTCTTTCCCGTTGTGCTCTAAGGAGCTATGGGGCTGCACTGGCTCACACGCGTGCAAGTGCTGAGTGCTCAGTACCTGCAGCAAGGCTCGGTGTTGCGATAGTCTACTGAAAGTAACCACAGCCATGGGGATTGTGGCAGGCGGCAGCGGCCCAGTCCACTTGCACCAGCTGTTTCCTGATTTCTAGGCAGTGCCCTTTCATGTACTTGGTAGGATTTGGCAAGGGACACTTAATGTTTGTGTTTTTGAATATTAATCATTGCTTTTGAAATTCAGACTTCTATAATGACTCCTTGCGGCTTTCTGTGCCTGCAGTGTTCCTTTCTGCCTGTGTTGGAGCTGCCCTGGAGCCTTCTGCTCCCAGCCAAGCCCCCATGTGGCCTTGCGGGCAGGACTCTGAGGCCTCTGTCCCCTCAGCCACAGGCCACTTGGGGCCACACGGTACCCACAGTTCCCCTTGGTAGGTGCGGCCCTCCCCTCCCTTCCTGCAACTCCTGGCTCCTGTGAGTCTGCAAAGCCAGAAACAGCTTGGCGTTTCTTTCAAGTTGAGCATTCTGTGGTCCGATTGCACATTCACTGGACAGGTGTTCCAAACTGCCCAGATTTATTTTAGTTTGCAAGATGTGTTTCAATTTGTATGCCACCAAATCAGATCCTCCTGACTTCTCTCCTCCTCTTCTAAGATCTCTGGAGAACAGCTTTAAAACACTCTTAAGAATGCCCTGTGCTCCCACCACGTGGGGAGGCTGAAGCAGGAGGGTGATAAATTTGAGCTCCATCTAGACAACTTGGTGACTAAATGCGATCCTGTCTCAAAAAATAAATAACTAAAAAGGGCCAGGGGTGTAGCTCAGTACAAAGGCTCTGCACAGAAAAAGCAAGTCCCAGAATACACCTTCAGCGCACGTGAGCACTTTCCCCCCACATCCTGGACAGATGGCCCAGGACAAGGTGTCCGGGGAGGTGCGGGTGGGAGGGCTGGTGGTGCTCTTGCTGTAGTGGAGGCGGAGGCTGCCCGGCAGCAGGAGGAAGCCAATGCTCATGGATAGAAGGCCGCAGAAAGCACGGCTGGTGCCAGGCTGCCCGCAGCTTCATGCTTCCACAGTGGCTGGGAGGAGTCTCTTCGGTCCTGGTGTCCTGTGTGCTCACAAGGGCCGCTCTGAAGGTGAGCGCGAGCGTGACCTCGCCACCAACGCTGCTCGCAGAGGGGTCAGGCCTGCCGGGAACAGAGCTGCGGGACAGACTGAGGCTGCGCTTCACAGGACGCAGCTGCCTTTACTCACAGCGAATTACCCACAGCAGGGTGCCATGTCCGTGCTTTCCGAATCATCTTTTTCAGATTTCATGTAATTTTTACTTGTTAAGATTTTATAAGCCACTGATGAAGGTTCTACAATCTGAGGTACAGGATCTCAGGACAAATCCTGAGGGCATTTCACTGACCTTCTCAGACCAAAAAGCTACAACTCTTGTTGCATAGGTCCTGCTTTACCTTGGTCTTAACCATCCAGTAGAAAAGTATGAAGTCGAAATATAAGAAATAAAGCCATGCTGTTAAGTTGAGCTGTGGGGGACTCAGGTCAATAATTTCTGACATTGCCAGTTAAACAGAAGACCCAATGCTATTATAGGCTACTGGACTCTTTTAGAATATTTTGCTGAGTTTACACACCTATAATATTCAATAACGGAACTTAGAAAAAATGGGGTATACCGATGAATGTCCATTTTGTATCTGTGTATTCAAAGTGGTTGGGATAGATATATTGTTGCATTCTCTTAATGAATAGAATGATTTGTTCTAATGGTGTTTGTAAATAGGATCACTAGTCCGCATCTTGTACAGCAATTAACCACTAAGAAGAATATATGCAGTGTATTATTTGTTGAAACTGTCCTTCCGATTTGATTTGAAACTGTCTCATTGCTATCTGTTTGTCAATAAAACTTTGAAAAAAAAAAGATTTTATAAGCACTCCATGTTTGCAGCTAATCTGAGGGATGGGGACGTGTACCTGGCACAGTTTGCTTCTTTCTTTGTAATCCCGTCCGCTTCCCTCCCTCGCCCTCCCCCTTCTCCAATTCCCCTCCCCCGTATTTTGCTCCTGTTGTGGCCCGCAGCGTCCTACTCACTGCGCTGCTGGCTTCCCGCAGCCTGCACACCTTCATCCTGCCCCTCTCCCCTCCTCCTCGCCCCGCCCTGTGCCCTTGGGCCCCTTCCCAGCCCCAGGAGAGCCCTCCCCTGTCCCCTTCTGTCCATCCTTGGTCACCCCCTGCGTGCCTCGCCTCACCCCAATGAGAGAGCGCAGGCGTCCACGCCTGTGTCTGGTTTCCTTCATGCAGCACCGCATTTTCCAGGCGCACCCATTTTCCTGCAAAAGCCTCCAGTGTCATTCTGGGCAGCTGAGCGGTATCGCATTGTGGAGCGACAGCACGCTTGCTTCATCCGCTCATGTGTGTCGGGGCGGCCGGCTGCTTCCTGGTTTATAAGCTTTGCGGCTGTAAACCTCGGAATGCGCGTATCGCTGGAGTAAGAGTGCCGAAGCTCTTGGGGGAAGATGCCTCGCGGGGACAGCTGGGTCACGTGGGGTTATCATGTGGGGCTGGGTCGCGTGGGGCTGGGTCGTGTGGGGCTGGGTCATGTGGGCCTGGGTCTCGTGGGGCTGGGTCGCGTGGGGCTGGGTCACCAGGGGCTGTCACATGGGGCCGGGTTTCGTGGGGCTGTGTCACGTGGGGTTTCTAATTCCAGTTCTGTGAGGAATTGCCCTACGGTTTGCATGCTGGTTGTACCACTTTATATCCCACCAGCCTCGAAGGAGGATCCTTTTTTCTACAGCCGCCGCAACAGTTGATTTCTTAATGATTGCTGTTTTCTCTGGAGTAAGACGGCATCTCTCTGATGGACAGATTCTTGCACATGCTTGGTAGCCACTTGCATTTCTTTCTCTGTGAAACGTCTCTTCGCTGTGCTTGCCTGTTTCTCGCTCAGACCTTTAATTTTAAGGTGTGTGTACACCAGAAATGGACTCAGAGAAGCAAGGCATGAAAGTCCCCGGTCATCCGGCAGCCTTGTGCTCCTAAGTCATGCTGGCTTGCCAGCTTGGCCTTCACTTGAGAAGTCGGGGTGTGTGTGTCTAGACTCATTCTCACTATTTTTATAGTACGGAACATGGACCAGACTGAAATTTCTGGCTACAAGGTGTGATCAAAACACATGGTGAATGATTAAAATATGTTAAAAGATGTATGTAGCACAAAGCGGATTCATTCTGAGCACACGTTTCAGCGGCTCCTGCGGCAGCTCTGGCATCCTTGCTCCTGCTGCCTTGAGGTGTGCTGTCTGGACCACCTCAGCATCTTGAACTGATTCACAGCGTTCCCTTGTAGGGCCCTGTGATTTTGGGGAAGAGCCAGAAGGCCCCGGGAGCCAGAGCTGGTGCTGGGGGCGCGGGGGAGACACGCTGCGGCGCTTCTGTGCGCCTGCCTGCCTGTGGGATGGCGCTCGGCAGTCAAGTCGCTGTGGTTTTGATTTCATCCTGTGACAATGCTCAGGAGAGAGGGCTGCAGAGCTGCCGCAGAGGGCGGTAGAACGAAGGGCTGAGTATGTGCAAAGCCCGAGCGAGGATTCTGAGCGGGACTGAAGGCAGTGTCTTTACTCTAACAAGTGTTTCAAATTCAGAATTCACTATTTATTTCTGGCATGCTTGTGCATAACTTTTGTCCCCACCGGTGTGTTCGTCCTGGCCGCAGATCCCCTGAGTTCCGTCAGGCTGTTCCCTGTGAGCAGTGCTTTTCCTCTGTCTCCTGGTTCGTTGTTGTGGGTAGCAGGAAGTAGGTGGCTGTAGGGGCTCCGGAAGGAGCTCCTGGTTTGCCTTGGAAAGGCCACATCATACAGCAAGGTGGTCAGGATGGAGGTCCTGGACTGCCCCTCCCTGACCACTAATGGCTATTAGTAGGAGGGCTTAGTTGTCACTATGAGGCTGCCACTGCCAAGTGAGGCAGAGATTTTGAGGTATTACACATCCAAGGCACCAGGAGAAAGTGTTCCCCAAATGGAAGCCCTCTTGCTATGTGCCTTAAATCAGGTGATTCTCCTCTCTGCGTCACCCACTCCTACGTGCCCCTTCAATTTTGGGTCACTCTTCGCAGTGGGCCACATGGGAACAGTGGCTCCAGGAGCTACGGTAACCTGAGGGGGTGTAGTGCTGTGTCCACAGCAGTTTGTCTGGAAGCCGCTCAGCGGGTGAGGCAGGGTTGTGTTGCCCTGGGTGCTCAGCCCCATGCACCCTGCCATCTCTGAGCTGGGAGCCCCCTTCCTGTCCTTGGCACAGGAGTGCTGGTCTGGGTGAGTGGGAGCTACAGGGGGCTGTGAGGCCTCAGGCATGGGGTGGAGGGAGACAAGGTTCTTCCTGTGGAGTTGAGGGGACTTCCGGCCATCCCAGACTCCACAATAAGCTCGGGCTCAGGAGAAAAAGACCCTGGGGCGAAAGCTGGAGATGAAGAGTTCACATACAGGCTCTGTCCCCTGCCTTAGCAGCAGCAGCACAGAGGTCACAGAGCCACATCCAGGGGGACCACAGAGCCACATCAGTGTGGGAGGGCAGAGCACCAGGCCACAGAAGCCACATGACTTTTCTACTGTCCGTTTTGCCCATCTGCAGGGACAAGGAGACCTGCTGAAGAGCGCCAAGCACGAGGCCCTGGAGAACATGAAGCAGGTCCAGCTGGCCTGCCTGTCATGCGGGCTGAGCAGGGCGGCCAGCAGCGGGGCCGAGGCCAAGGGCAAGCGCAGCCTGGAGGCCATCGAGGAGAAGGAGGGCGGTGAGGACAATGGGCAGCCCTGAGTGCCCTCCAGCACCACCTGCTCTGTGCTGTCTTCACCTTTGTGGAGTCTACGCAAGATGCACTCTGGGGGTGTCGGACAGACAGTTCCACAATGTCAGTATTTTGATGTAGTTAATTTATCTAAGTTAAAACCTTTAGAAACAGTGTTTTAAATCCTGAGATGTGTGTACTCACCCGTGTGTGTGTGTGTGTGTGTGTGTGTGAGAGAGAGAGAGAGAGAGAGAGAGAGAGAGGAATCTGTTCTGTGTTGCATTATTCATGTTACTCCTTTAGTAAATTATTCTTCTGTCTGTATCATCATGTTGATGATGATAACAAACTTGTTAATCTGAAATTCTAACGAGCTCTCCCTGTAACCTGGCTCTGTGCTGAATTCCACGTCTCTGCCTCTGTTGTTACTGTAGAGATCTTAGTGTAGCTTATCACTGAAGAAAGCCAAATTTGCCAAAGCATAGGTGTTTTGATAGATTAAATATAGATTAAAAATTCGTAAGAATCACAGTAGAAATTGTAACAAATGGAAGATTAAACAAACATTCAGAAGTACTGGAAAGATGAACAACAGTCATTTCCTCAGTTAGCAAACTTTCAAATGTCGAATAAAATAAATGTTTAGGAAGTTTCCTGTAGTCATTTACTAAACATGCAGTTCAGTGGTCATAAATGGACTGGCACCCACTTGCGCAGCACTCAGAAGCACACGAAAGCTGGACTTGGACGAGACACTGGCGTTCAGGCACAGGGCTGCAGGGTTTGCAGGAAGGCTTCGTTTCTCTGCACCGGGCTCCAGTGCTCATCTCCCACGACAGTCGCAGGCCTCCGCAGGGCTTTGGTGTGGCTGCGAGTCAGTGCAGAGACTGAACTTACCTTTCAGGACACATTCTGGGGGTCAGCTAGCATCTGCGCGATGATTCCAGAACTAGCTGAATACAAAGCATCTGTAATTTTAACACAGAAAAACACATGCAAAAAAGAAACAAATGACTAATTAGCGTCCATACGGAATTACATCTAGACCATTTTTGCCCTAATGTCTTCATAGAGTACTTGAGTATAATGTTCATTACCTCCAACAGAACTGAATGTTCTATGGTTATGAAAGAATGTATTTATTTAAAGCATTGCTTTTATTTTGAAGAGCTTCTTAATTAATTTGATTAACAAATATGCTAATTGGGGGAACTCTGGAGAAGATAACTGTTGAAATTTTGCAAATATAAACATCTTCTTTAGCTCCTGCGTTGTTTCTGACTTCTTAACACTATTCTGTTCACGTTGCACATTACAGAGAGTAAAGACAGTGAAAAGCACCACTCTCATTCTCTTTCATTGTGAGTGAACTGAAAAGGGGACGTGATGAAACTGGGGTAGGGTACTAAAACGCCTCGGAGCCTGCAGCGGGCGCCCAGCCGTCACCCCGCGCTCTGGGAGGCTGGGGCAGGAGGGCAGCACACTGGAGCCCAAATAAATAAATAAATAAATAAATAAATAGGCTGGGAATATAGCTCAGTGCAAAAGCCCTGTGTTCAATCCCCTGCATGGAAAAAAAAAATATGATCTTCAGAAAATCATGAAGGGTTATTCCCAAGGGCCAGGTGCTATATAGCATTACTGTGCTGGTGCAGAGCGGGACTCTGAGCAGAGGTACCTGAATGCACTAAGTCCTTCCACAAGGCCCAGAAGGCGCGTCTCTCCTCTCCAGTCTGCGTCCCTGCTGGAAGAAGGGCTAGCAGAATGCAGGCTTCCTTCCCCGCTCCTGATTCCTGGGGGACTCAGCTGTGACGACATGGCAGGTGGGAGGGATCTGGGGTCACAACTCGGCAGCCGCTGCGCTGACCTTGCAGGACCTTCCTGGTTTACCCTTTTGCCCTAAGACTGTCAGGCTGGAAGATATCACGTGGGGTGGCGTGTGGCAGTGGGCCGTGCACCGCCTGGGCTCCATTGCACGTGGCGTGGGGGCAGGCGGACGCCCACATGCAGCTGCCCAGACAGGCTCCGCAAGGGCCTCCCCCCGGGGGACGGCAGCCAGCGCCTGGGCTTGGCGCCTCTGCCGTGAGAGCCTGGGGTGGGCAGGGAAGGACCGGGCTCCACTGTCTCCGGTCTCCTGGCGGTGGGGAGCAGCGAGAGGCGCTTGGGATTGTCCCGGCCAGGCAAGGACTGGTGAGAACTCAGACCTGTGGGTGCCAAGTGTTTACTTGGTGAATTTTTAGGGTCAGAATTTTAAGCTAGACCACTAATCCTTTAATGTTCGAGCAGAAAGATATATAGCTTTTGCGAGATGAAATATGATGGATCTATGGAAAATAGAAGTGTATAAAAATGGAAATAAAAATCACCTACTATTAATATAGAGCTTATTCATATATGTAAATGGGCTTTCATTTTTAATAGAGATGACTTCATGTGATATAAACTGTTTATAACAGGATTTTTAAAACAATTTTCATAGCATCTCACCCATAGTGTGTCAGTGAAAATAAATGTACATTGGAACTCCTGGCTTTTCTGCTGAATTCTGGTCCACAAACGATGTTTGGTTTGTTTGTTTGTTTGTTTTTTTTCCAGCACCAGAGGAATTTTTTTTTTTTTTTCAGAATCAGGGATTGAACTCAGTCCCTTGTGCTTGCCAGGGAAGCACTTATTCCACTGAGCCATCTCCCTGACCCTACACCAGAGGAATCAAAGTTGGGACCTGCGCTTGCCAGCAGAGAAATCCTTTTTTTTTTTTTGTACCTGGGTTTGAACTCAGGCTCTTGTGCTGGCAGGTGGGTGCTTATGCCGCTGAGCTATATCCCCAGCCCAAACGATGTGTTTTATTTGGCCTCTGAATCCTTTTCTAAAATGCTGAAGCAGTAGACAACTTTTGAAGATCAGTTTCAAATGCAGTCGGATCTGTCTTGGCAGTCTGAGGTATTCTGGCCTGCCCTCACCATGTACTCCCGCACCTGGGCCCAGCTGGTTGCAGGATCTGCTCTGGGGGCCCTCTGCTGCCTGGTGTCGGGAGCCCCACTCCACGTTGTCTGGCATGGGCAGACTCCTCGGGTGTGGATCCTGGATCTCATTTATAGTAATCACACCATAGCCTGTGGGGTTCGTGCTACGGCTGCGTGTTTAGTAGAACGCCTTCCATTGGCCTTGTCTCCTATTTTATCAGTATATACCTACTGTGGTGAACCCCTCCCCCCAATTTTGTAAAATTACTCAACTTTTTCTTTTGGATCCACTTTCAGAATTAGAATTACTGGGCCACAGTGCACGTGGGGCTTTGGGGACTTTGAGCTATTTTGCCAATTCGTCTCTGGAACACATGTCCAATATAAATTCCTACAGGTGTTGTGGAAGGGCCCAAATCATCACTAATGGCACATTTAATGCCCACTTTTTAAAAAAAAATGTATTTGGTACAGGGTCTCACTATGCACATAGTGATCCTCCTGTTTCCAGCCTCTCCAGTGCTGGGATTCCAGGAGTGTGCCACCACACCCAGACTCGGTTGCTGGCTCAGCATGCCCGGGGCGGGGCTGTGTGGCCTGTGGTTCCTGGGGTCGAACCCTGGTCCCTGCGCTTGCCTAGGCAGGCGCTTAGTCCTCTGAGCTATCTCCCCGACTCTAATGCTCACTTTTTCATCTTCCCAAATCTAATTCGTTAAAAGCCAGATTGATCCTTATTTTTACTCTCTAGCGAGATTGAACACACATTAATACGTTCATTGCCTACAAATGAACTCACCAGAACTAACTTTTGTATTCCTAAGGGTGCGGGTTTCCAAGTTGTCTGACTTGATGAGCGATGATGGGATGCAGGATGTGGAAAAACCCGTCATACTCAAAACAGCACAAAACTGTAAAAGGCGCAGGGGGTCCGTCTGCACAGGCTTTCCCCAGAGGAGGCTTCCAGCGCCTGGTCTGTGAGAAGACGCTCGGGGCCCCACCCCAGGGGCGCTGGCCGGCCGCAGGGCTCTCGAGGGCGGCAGGGGACGTCGTTGCGCCCCAGGAGGGCGGGAAGCGCAGCCTCCTGTTCTGCTCTGGGCAGCGAACTGCTGCAGCTGGTGTGGAAAACGCCGCCACGCTTCCTGGAGGCACTTCCTGGAGGGATTAAACAGCGTTCCGCGCGGCCCGGCGGTCCTCCTGGAACTGTGCTCAAGGGCAGCGAAAACCTGCGGCCACACAAGCCCTCGCACACGAACGCCCACAGCAGTGCTGCTGGTGACCAAGTGCAGAAGCACGCAGGTGTCCGTCAGCTTATGGAAGCGTGAGAGAAACCTGGGCATCCCTGAGTGGATTGTCCAGCCACAGAAAGGAATGAAGGACCGATGCGCCACCCTGTGAAAGTCGAGAGCATTCTGCCAGGTGATTCGATTTTTATTTAGCGTTGAAAACGGACCCGATGTCTGCCAGGGAGTGGGCGGAGGGCGGCGCCCACTGGTTCGGGGTGACCAGCGCGCTCTGCAGTCAGGCACCGAGGGGCTCGCGACTCGCCCCGGCTGTACTGCAAATCACCGAGCTGCATCCTGTAAAAGGGGGACACTTATGGTATGTCAGTGACATCAGAAAAAGCGTTATTCAAAAGGAAACAACCGTGAGAACTGACACCATGAACAGTGTCCGAGAACTGTGATCTCACTTCCAGGAGTCGCTGCATATGAAGTTGGAGAGAGGAGGGGAAAGGAAACACAGAAATGGTGGAGAACTAATGCTAACGCTTTCTCATTCTTATCAAAACTAGAAAGCTACACATTTAAGAAGCTGTAGCAGTCCAGTGACAGGAAGCCTGAGGAAGCTATCGCTAGAGGCATCGCGGTCAAATTGTTCAAAAAGAGTGAAAATGAGACAATCTTGAAAGTAGTGGAAAAAAGGCACTGCAGACTGAGAGAGAAGGATAGATGGAGGAAAAGGCGGCAGCAAGGCAGTAGAGAGCAATCTCTACCTGCTGAAAAACAAGCAGACGTTGTAACCCCAGAGTGCTGTACCCACGGACGGAATGTTCAACAGCACACATCGAAGTATGCACGAGCTGTCTTCGTCACTTGTAGACCTACTGTACAGGGAAACCCTTGGGGCTAAAGGACAGTGGTGCCAGAACAAAACAGGGATCTGCACAGAGATAGAGAGGACTAGAAATAATAAGTAAAGTGAAAATGTATTAAAATTGCATTGTTCAATGATAATTTTGTTTAAAGATAATTTTAAACAAAAGCAGCAGTGTGGAATTAGCCATGTGGAATTTGTAGTAGGCAACATACAATAAAATATATAGTAAAGATAGCACCAGTGTGGTAGGGGAGGAAGTCCCGACACTCGGTGTCCTGGAGGGAGACTGCAGTCAGTTAAAGATTGTACTCCCAGCTCTAAGACCGCTGTGGCCAGGACAGCAAAGAAGAGAGATGTGAGTCACACACCAGTGAAGGCCGTGCAGTTTAATCATGAAATGTATTCAATTAAGCCAAAATCAGAGGGAGACACAGAACAAAGGGAAAATACAAGTGGAAAATAAAGAACAGTCAAGACTTTTTGAAATAAATCAGACCCATATGTGTAAACATCATATTGTTTCTCTAGCGTGAAAAAATGAACAAGTAAATAAGATCCAAAATGTACAATAGATACTGTGAATTGGGAAGAAACTGTTCAAAAGAAAAGACAAACTGTGACAGGGAAAAGGAAAAGGAAGGGAGGGAAAAATATATGCATATACACAAGACAGCTAAGAGCGTTCTGCAGAGTTTCCCTTAGTTCGTTAAAATGAAAGCTTTGTGTTATATACCGTATAGACGCGCTAGCACACCGTCTGCTCCGAATAACCACTAGGAGACAACAATACACAATGCGTCAACTATTGTAACTGCCCTAATAACCTGTTTGAAACTCAGGATGGAGGAAAGGAGAAAAGAAAGAAGGGAAACACACACACACACACACACACACACACACACACTCTAGCTAAGATAACTGGCATTGGCTTATAGAAAGGAACAGCTGACGCTTCATTGTTCAATCACTTGCGTGCCTACACTGATAATCTAAGCAACCACTGCAAATAGCAGCATGTAATCTAACAGCTATTACTAATTTCCTATCATCTTGCTTTGAAACTTTGTATTTTTCTTCTTATTTTTTGTTGTTTTGCTTTTGTTTTTCTCTCTTTAAAATAAACTTTTTAAAAAGATGATTGTTTCAAGATATAATTATAACAGTAACCACATTGCATGTAAATTATAGAACTACTGGGCTTGAATGGCA